CCCCCCCCCCCCCCCCCCCCCTCGCACCCTCGGGAGGCTGACCTAGGGCTCAGCGGCGGGCATGGCTCATTTGTCCATACCCCGCGAACTGTAGACGCCGATGTGAGGGGGGAGGCTGAGCCTTAAAGCCCCAATAAAGGGGGGTGGAAGGGAACGGGAGGAGTGTACTATTTACAGACGTCAACAGAGGCCCCCGAGATCGGACAAGGGGGTACCATCATCTCCAACTACCATGTCCGAGGTTCCAGCAGAGCCGTGTCCACAACGCTCTGGCACCGGACCCTCTTTGGAGTGTGGCGTAGGAGAGCCGCCGGTTGGTGCCCTTTTTGCGTTGTATCCGATGACTCGCAGGAACAGCAGGTGAAGTGCCTCAGTAGTGGTGGCAGCGTGAGACCTATGTTATACAACCGTATACAGGGCCTCAGTCGTCTCCCCCTGTAGCGAGTAGGTCTTGAGTCGTAAAAAAGTGCTCTCGGCCTGTCGAAAAACTTGCAGGTTTATCTCCGGGAGATCATCCCCCGGGTGCATGCCACTGTCGTTGACGAGGCCACGTGGGTACCGGAACTCGGTCATCTGGGCGTATCTCTGCTCCGCTGCTTCGAATATCAGCGGTGACAACGGTGGCGGCGGGTGTTGAAGTCCTGATATAAACTTGGACGGAGGAAGCAACGATGGAGCGGGGTGAACTTCAGCAAACTACAAGATTCATAAATTCTTGGCACGATAAAGAGGAGGCTAGACGGCAAAGAGCGCTCAACCGAGACAACAAGCCCAGCAATAGTACAGTCATGACATCAACCAACGGGTCGGGAGGGGGACAGCAGGACCAGACGAAGAAAGTAAACGAGAAGAAGCGGCCCGAGTAGCGTAATTTGTGCCGGATAAACTCCTCGGATATTTTCCCCCCCCATCACATCCCCCCTCCCCCTTTCCCCCGGTGTCTGCCCCCCCTCCGGCGATGTTTGCCATCGGGGTTGGTTTTTCGTCGCTTGGCAATTACTTTGTAAAACAAGCTGCTTCCCCGGTGTTGGCCGTCGGGGTTGGGTTTCCGTCACTTGGCAGCCATCTTGCAAAACAAGCCGATCACTTCGTGAGCTCGGCAAATGCGTCATCTGTTTCTCTAACTTTGCCTCCATCTAGAACGACGTGCTTGGTGCGTGTATGATTTTGGTTTCAGCAAGGTGCGTGAATAAGTGGGATGACACGGCATCCTTGTAGATAATTCACCTCGGAACAGCCAAGGTAGCCGAAAGAGAGTGTTTGAAAAAACATAGATACCATGTTGGGATTCCCAACCTTTGGTTCGGGAAAGCAATAGCCAAATAAACACTTCGGAACAAGGAACGCGAGGTTGAGATTCTTCAAATGTTGTTTGTTATTGGTTTTGGATCATGCTTGACGCCAAGTCGGGTACGCCTAAGCGTTGTTGGTGCTTGACAGGCGCCTACCTGACAGGTGTTTTAGGCTAGTGAGACATTATTTGACGTCGTGTGTTTTAAGATAGTACTCGTATGCACAATGAAGGCTTTTTTATCGATGATGAGAGTATTCATGATGGTAATTGCGATTCCTGGTGAAGCTTCGATAGGATACTTTTTGGACCTGACGTTTGTCAGGCCCTCATTTGCTTTTGCGTCCAAGGCTATTAGGTTCGTTGTTGCTCAGGCTGTTTTGCCGTTCATGGAGAGATATCCTTAAGTGCTCACGCTTTGTCCGTGTTTCGGCTTGTAGTTACAGCCCGTTTCTTATCAAGCTGAGCGGCTTCTTCTACGATGTAGCGTTGCTTTTTCCGGGCGTTGTTGTAGCAGTAGAGGTTGGGAGCTCGGTCTATTTGTGGCTAGTCTACGCACACTCTCAGGTTCTATATCATCAGACCATCTGGCGTACCTCTACTGGAGTTCGATGTCAGGCAAAGCAGGCAGTTAGCGCAGCAAGACTCCGCAATCAATCTCTATCCAATCTCCACTCCGTTAGGTCAGCGGTTACGTCATGGCGGCAGTTATGCACTCAGGCACAGTGGCAATGGCACCGATTTCTTTCTCACACTTGGTAGTGACCAGAATGACCAGGTAGACATCGGATGGAGGAATCCGATGCGGGCACTCGTGAATTGGAATCGAGAGGTGGTGACCCACCTAGGTCCTCGACTCTATCAATCCACGCCCTCGATGCTCAGAGTAGTCACCTCTGCGCACTTCAACTTACTTGTTGCCTGTAGTTACATAAAGCTCCAGGCTCCCGTGGAGTTATCGGCCTGTCGACACTTCATTGTAGATCGAGCTCTGCTGGAACCTTGGAAATAGTTCCTGGCATTGTTGATGGTACCCCCCTGTCCTGTTGTCCCCTCCGGGGGGCCTCTATTAACTTGCGAGCATGATAAATTTCTACAGAGGCCCCCCGGATGGGACACGACGGGAGGTAACATCAAAAACTCCACGTACTCACTTACCCAAGCCCCCAGCATAGCTCGGTCTGCTACTCTCCCAAAGCGCCGGTACACCTTGCTAGAACCCGCTGAGCTTGATAATAAATGGGCTCTGAAAACAATCCGGACCAAGAACAAAGCCGAAGCATTACATATGTTTCCTCGACGTGAACGGTCAAAATGCCTGAGCAGCAACAAGCAACCAAATGAAGCCTCACAAATATCAGGTGCCCTCATCATCGATGAAGACTCAAAACACGTTGTTGTTGTTTGTTGTTGAATTCACATGAAACACGGTTCCAGTCTCCTCTCAGTACCTTATCATGTCCGTACTGGTCCAACTGACGCGGAAGCCTTCCGTGGTGACAAGCCAACTAACTACCCCAAAAGGGGGGGAAAAAACTATAATGATCCCCAAAGAGGTGCAAGGCTAGATTAGTGTTTATTCGGGATACAGACGATCGACCCCGGGATGGAAAGAACGAAAGAACGAAAAAAAAAGGGAGGACAATAGAAACAACAAAGAGAGGAAGTTTATCCAGGTGCCTGCCTTCCACTCGATGGCCGCTGACCAAAATAACTGTAATACCTTGTCCGTGTCGGGCTTCCATTGTCGCCCCATGTCGGAAACGGCATCCACGTTATCGGGAGGCTTATTGAATTCTGGGTACGAAGGCTTCAATGATCACATATACCGATCCAGATTAGCGAGTGCCTCTCGTGGTTCGGAAGACTGCGGCCGCACTCAGGTTAACCAAACTAAATCCCAAACATGCCTGAAACCATCTATATCCATCCTATCTACAGCAGCCAACCTTGATGATATTGGTCAAGGGTCCGAAACGGTGGTCAAGGGTGATAAATAATCACCATTGTACTGGATCTCTGTTCCCAAACGCTGGCAAATCATCAAGAGCTTGGCTTAGATCCCTTGGACTTATCTCTCTCTCTCTCTCTTTCTGTGTCCCTCAAGCTCGCGTCTCAAACCCGGGTCTTGGCTTAGTTTCAGCTCAGATCATTGGACAAACCGTCGGAGTACGTTCAATAGCACGACTTCACGTAATCCAAACGACAGGTAGACAGGCATACGTGTGACACGTTCACAGTGGACAGGGATCACAGGGTTTTTTTTTTTCGCGGGGTAGTTTCGAGTAAAAACCAGGCGTTAGGTGGATAGGACCCAAGCGCGACACCATCTGCTTGTTGAAATGTTTTCGATGGCTCTTCGTCGAAGACACACGATTGTGCTTGACCACCGAACGCTTCGACACCCTGTATGCATACAAGAGACGAGGTGGGAGCATCGGAGCAGTTCTGGACCCCCGTCTTTATGCCTCTCAGGTAACCGTAGCATCGAGACCTTTGACAGAGTATCACTTACTGGGATCCAGCCACGAAACATGGTCGGATTCGTATTTATCTACACTCATGCCGCCGCAAAATCATCTCAGCTTTTCGCCATTGAAGCGGAGATGCAAACGAACACCGGCTTGAATGCCGTCGGAGTTGGATACTCGCCAGCTGCTCTTGTTCCAGTCATGGCTGTTGACGGATAGGTGTACCTGCCCAGAGAGAGCCTTTACAAAATACGCGACGAGATGGGCTTCTTTTCTTGGTAGGAAATAGCACATGAACCTTAAGTACGCGAAACCACGCAGGAGAAAAGAAATAAGACCTCCCGCACCCTATTTATTTCGTATTGGCCATGTATATCATGTTGGCCATCAGCAGTTCTCCCGCACAATGTTTAGGTGATCTTTAACGACATGAGGTGTCAAAGGAGGGAGCTAGCAGCCGTGAAAATGAGTGGGAAGACTTGGGAAATCGCAAGCAACGCCCAACTTGTGGCACTGCACCGCTAAAAACAGCAGGCCGGGTCTGTAGACACGCCTGAAAAAAGGCAGACCCTAGCATTAAAGCAGGGCCTAGGATAAGAATCCTCCCCCCATGGCCTCGGGGGCCTGATTGGTTCACCTCCTTGGGGATGGTAAACTGTATCATGGTATTATTTCACACGAACCTCTATTTCTCGCTCCTGCCAACAGGTCAACAACCAGGCAGACAGAACAACCGTTATATCACATCTTAGGCATATAATGCAGATATCCAAGACGACTTCCCCACCGTGAACCACTCTACTCTCGGATGCGATGTGTCCACCGATCGTGAGTTCCGCTCTCCACGGGAACGCTACGATCCAGCAGACCGTACGGAGCTTGCTTGTGAAAACTCCCCCAGTGCTCGTCGAGGGTATAAAAAACACCGAGGACTGCGTCGCCGAGTGTAAGATATGATAACAGCGCCGACAGCAAGATTTCGCGCGGCATTCCACGGAGTACACGGAGCTGGGGTAAAAGCTTCATCATATGGACGGTCAAGATATTATCATCAGAGTCGACGAAGAACTTTTTTTTCCTCCCTTCATTGGACTCTGTCGTCTGTCCCTCTGACCCCCATCCTCCGCTTTTTCTGGGTAGATAACCCAACCGGGGTCACGTAGGAGGTTTTTAGCTGGATGACCCGACCGGGGCCACACAGGAGGGGGGGGTTGGACCCCCTCCTGCGGTTCCTGTCTGAGATATTTTAATCGCGAGAAGTTTACAGCAATCCCTTCCCTCGCGACTTATAGAGTCGATCAGGTTCACTAACACCGAGTGTTGCAGCGCGTCGCTACCAACGGAGACCTGGAATGAATTCGTGTGAAAAAACTAACTCTGCCGGGACACGAACCCATGACCTAGCCTTAGCAGGCTGCGAGGTTACCCACTAGACCGCCGGAGCGACCGGCTTGTGCACGCGCGCAATACACAAAAACATATCATGTACCCGTCGACACGCGGCGGAATACCGTAACCTACAAAAGATAATACACCCGCATGACAAACCACACCCCCCACAGAATACGAGACCCTGGCAATAATTTTCGGCGCTTCAGACAAACCATTGATTTATCACCCGTCCTACATAAGATAATACACCCTTGAGGTTAGTTACGCCGCATACGTTCACGGGACCTCTTCTTCTACCACCGGGTGGATACAGCATCTGCCCCGTGGGAATTTCATTTATGTTTGAAACTTTCCTCGGTATTGAGGGGGTTGAGTCATCGCCGAGGTCATGTGCTCAGGCGTTTCGTCACCTCCGTTGAACCCCTTTGTTTCATTCACTACATCCCCGCAGAACTACACCCTATATCACTCCCCTTTTATCACACCCCCAAACGCACCCTGTGGGTGTTCGGACGTGCTATCACACCCCCTAGTTTATCACACCCCTTCAAATCCGCCCCCTGGTGTTTGCCATCGGGGTTGGGTTTTCGTCGCCTGGCAACGACGTTGTAAAACAAGCCGCCGCCCCCGGTGTTTGCCATCGGG